CCCCCCCCCCCCCCCCCTATCAGTTGCTTCCAGCACTTGGAACTCTCCTCTTTAGTACCAACTCAATTACCTGATTTTTTGGAAGGTTGAATTTGGTTAGGGGTCATAAGATTGGAAATCAAAATTAACTGAATTTAAGCAATAAATGTTGGCATTCATCAATCTCATGAACCAGGTCCATGCCAAATCGATTCGGACATCGGGTTCTCAACATCAATTACGAGATTAAACCAATTTTTTAAAAGAGCTTACCAAGCATAATTCTTTGCAGCAATATCTGTTTTAAATTCCGTTTCTGGAATTATAATTGCTGATTTATATTCATAGCCTTTTGTCACATTGTACTCAAGAAGAGAAGAATAATGTTCCTCAATCTAAAGAATAAGCAAATCTTATCAAAGTAACTGAAATATATGTTAAAATATTACTCCAAGTTCTAATTTACATTGCAATATAGAGTTAGATAAATTCGGTGTTTGGGATAATCTAAGTCGGCAAGATTCTTGAAGAAGTTTTCCAAGAAAGGGGTTGGAGATGAGATAAATGCAGAAATTTGGACAACAGGATAGGCTTCAGACTAAGCAAAAAAGAATTGAAAGACAAAATCAGGCAACTGAAATTCGGACTGATCAGAAAGACTCAAACAGTAAAAACTTACGTAAAGTTCATCCAAAAAAATATTGTCTTCACTACAGTGGATGCAGCCTTTTGCTGGAGTCCAAGTCTTGGCAAGATAGTTTGTCAAGGAGTTGAATTTGACCTTTTTATTAAAAACTGTGACTTTAGAATCATAAAATAGTACAAAAGCAACCTGGATTACAAATCAGATTGGGCAAAGGCCAAACCAATCAAAGGGTAAAACCAATAGCTATTGTTATTTTCCACCTTAGTATTTAAAGCCGAACAGATAATTCAAACAAAGTTACAACGGCTTTGCATTATGATTTAGCTAAAAAACCGATCGTATTCCAAAGGCTGTTATAGATAACAGCATAGCATAGCAACTCTAGTGTTTGCTTTGGTAGGAATGACCATATTTTGGATCAACGCTCATCAATGAATATTCAATGAAACAATGGCCGATAGCACTAGCTGGTTTCGTTAAATAAGGATTACCCCTCACTGTCTGCCCTCTATTGAAGTGTCGCTAACAGATATCTAAATGAGGTTGAGAAGTTTATACTATGAACATGACAGCACAATAAGAAATCTACTGATGACTAGAAGGTAATACAACGAAGTTAACGGCCATAACAACAAAAATCTCAACTAATCTAGCTGATAAATCATTATTTCTGTTCCTTTCGTCCCCTGAAATGATTGGAAATAGAAATTCATGATAAGCAATAAAATTAATCTCCTTATTAACTAAGAAAGTTCAATTGGGTTAATTTTGAGACTAAGACGAATAACTAATTAAAATCTATATGTGATATTTATGACGAACAGTTATTGATGAAATACCTTGATTGGTCCGTTTCCATGTGCAATTACTGGTTGACTACCGGTTTTCGTGTTAACCAAGTAGCCGGTATCATCATTGTAACCAATCTTGACATCCTCTGAAAAGTAAACATATTTTAAAAGGTATTAAAGCTAATGGCCTACGAAAGATGCTCACTCAAATCTGAAGGCTATTTAATTCTTTATTTTTTGCATGCACAGAACCGTAGATAAATGACTTCAATTATACCCAGATAGTGCAACGCTCAATATGCAGTCTCTTATGGCGGACAGCACTGTTGACAAAGGTAGGAATGCCTAAAACACGGATTGGTGCTTACTTTTCCACCCAAAATGTAGTGTTGAATGGCACCTTCCATCACTGGGCTCGGGAATTAAAAGTGCTCTCAGAAGACATTCAGCACGGAAAGATCGCATTCATGCATGGAAAGAGAGGGGGGGGGGGGTCAACATGCGAAGTCAAACAGTAGAAAGTTACCAAGAGCGCCGTTGAGATTTTGAAAGAGTTCGGAACGGGTGTCTAGGGCAATATCATACTTTTCCTATCAAAATCAATTCAAAACAAAACCATCACATTTGGAAATTCTTTCGTCAGATGTACATCATAAAACCGCAACCAGTTTCTGCCTTATGTTTTTATTTCCTTCAGTGCCACTTTCCATTAGATGGAAATAAAACGCAGGCAATATGCAAACAAAGATTTCGTCCCAAAGTCTAGTAATAACAAACTTATCCACTTTACTTTTGCCTTTTAAATTACTCTCATCACTTAAGAATTTAATTTCTATCACTCAAAATATTTATTTTAATATAAATTCTTAATACATTGTTTGGTTTTATACGATTTTATCAAGGTTGAAGGAGTGAGTAATGACATAACATCCAACACTAAAAAGTATAATTTAAAATATTTTGTTCTTTAGTGCAACGTCATCCTCAAAAGTATATATTGAGAGTTGTAAAAGATGGAAAATTATTTAGTTACTTGCAGTTGAAAGTCTCAAAGACTTTTATTCCAGCTCAAGATAGCTGTGCTTCAAGTGGAACTAAGTAAGCACGCAAAATTCATAAAAATATGTTTCTTAATCTTTTAGCTGGGAATTTAGTTGCTAAGGTCATACTCACTCTACATGATTGATTCGAAAACCGTATATAAATATTAAGCATAGCTCACTCGAAGTTCTGAGTCGAGGAAAATATTTGTGTAGTAAAGTTGGTCATCATCTTCATTTGCAATGGGACTGTGAGTGACTAATTCGTAAATATCGGCAACAGGTCCAACAAATGAACCGGAATTCAAGAAACGGCTTTCGCCCTCTTTTACAGTTGGATACTTAGTCTAAAAAGAAGGAAATGTAAGAAAAAATCACATAATGAAAAGAACAACCTAAATCAAACCTACCGCAAGATAAGCTTGAGGCCAACAGAACTTCTCTGCGGAGAAAATTACTCGATGCCCCAAAGCATCATAGATTTGAAGGAAAACATCTTCTGTATCCATAAACACGACATCATAACTAAAAAAATGATAAAAAGATGCCATTATTTCGTTTAAATGGTTTCATAGCTATTGCGTAAATGAAGCCTACCTGTCCAAAAATAAGACAAGATTTTCTTTATCTTCAGCCAAATGTTCCAGCTCTTCTTTCAATAAGCGAACCTTCTGTCCGCCACCGGGAAAATTCGCAACATCACCACCAAGCCAAGTTTCTCCGGATCCAAGAACCTTTAAATAAATTCACAAAAATATACACTTACTTTAACATTGTAACCATAAATATCAGCTGATCTCTTAAATCTTTGAAAAGCATCATTATCATCAGTTGCTACAGTATATACAAAAAGTTCTGGAAAATAAAATAAATAATAAATTTCATAATCTAATTTTACCTCTAGCCAGAGATGTTGTAATAATTGGGAAAAGCAGGTAAAATACATGTGCCAATAACATAGCACAGACCGTTTCAACTGAAGACTTGGTTCTGGTCGAGCCGAATTAAGTGTAAAGGTTGGTTAAACAAAAATACGACTGAATTGATTTAATTAAGTCTGCTCGTTATTGTATCTAACAAAAATTACAAATGTTTTCAAATGTTTCATTTTCAGCCGGGTAACCATATAATCAATTTCAAACTAAAAAAAGTGAATCTTAAAAATGATGTATTTATAATATTAGATATGTACTTAAATGTTTTCAAACTTTCAGACCAATGGTTAATTTTATTTGTTGACTAATCGTGCCATTAGAAATTGCTTGAAACGAAAGTAAGAGGTGTCCAACCCTTATCTAACATTATCAAATTAAATTTTATTGCCTCAAATTAACACCTAAAAATACTAGAAAATCACACTTTGCTGAAGTAAATAGTTAGAATGAATTTTAACCTTGTTTTATAATCATGATTTTCGTATATTTAGTCTAACTGTTCACCATTAAACACTTTTAACGTCTGTTAGGAATTCCTCCAAGACTATTTTATTGATTAACTTTAGAATAACTTCGGGACAAGCGACATTTGATGCAAACACCAATTTTGACAATGAATTCCATTTTATATAATATATCGAATATCACGTGCCGGGTCATTCGCTAATCCATAAACAAAGTAAATGTTCTTAAAATCAAGCAAATATGATCTTCAGTTAGCAAATTAATTTTTTTCACGTTTTATCAATATCACATTGTCCAAGAAAGAACTTTTTCGTTAGATCATAATAAGTATCTTGTCAAATCTAGATTATCTACTAAGTGTTGAAAAAGAGACAACGTGCTCCACAACTACACAGGCCTAAAAATTGAATTTGTTCTCATTTACTTTTGAAAAGATGCTTTATATGCCATTGATGGAAGACGACGCTCATTTTAGGATAACCTTACATGTTTTAAAGCGTCCATACTCAACTATAACCTATTAAATGCCATCTGAAGAATAAATAAGTATTGAAAATAAATCCAAAATTTATAAGAAGTTAATATTTTAATCCGTGAACAGAACATGGAATTGTAAAATGCTTTAATAATTTCAATTTTGTGCTTTAATTTGATACATGTTCATACTTAGCTATTCTGCGCTTCAAATGTTATAATAGATATCGCTTTTTAAAACCCGACTCTTCATTTTTTAATTTCACTTAATAATATAATTTTAAATTTATTATGGAAGTTTGCATGAGTTTACATCATTACTGCTATCATAACGTCATGATTTTCTATATATATATATATATATATATATATATATTTCTTGAAAAGGAATGGCATGGTTTCATAAATATTAGAAAAGAATCATTAATCGATTGTAGTTAGGCATATATATATTTACTTGTGTATGTATAATGCACCGGTTCAGTATCAATTTAGATGTGAACAAAAGTATTTATAAAATTGCTACAACTGGGTAAATGCTTATTTTGAAAAGTTGGCCAATTGAAAAATATGATTTTATCCAATAATATTTAATAAGCACCAAAATAATCATTTAAATCTTTTGATTTTTTTTCTAACAAGAGGACATAATTTTAGGCTTCCGGACTATTTTATTATTGCCAGTATAATGAAAGCTGTGATTTTTTTGGGTTCGTGGAACTTTAATGAATTAGAGATGGAACATTTTTTTAATAGTAGTTTTAGCGAATCACATTAGCAAATTTTCAGATGGAGAACACTATTTTATAATATATATAATAATTATGCACATATCCTCAAAATCAGATGAAAAGTAAAATGGTCAACACTTTAAAGCAGCAAAATTCATGAAAAATCGTAAATAAATTGAAATTGTTAAAGCAAAAAGTTCGGAAGTTTATTTGACAAGATATTTGGGAACTAATAAGAAACTGTATATTTAGGTTATACAGACTTGAAATAGTATGAAAAATATGAAGATTAATCGAACAAGATTAAAAATACTTTTATTTTATCTAACGAATTGCAGTCATTTATATTTTTAGTATTACATGTAGTCATTATATTCCGATTTAAATTTTATTTCATTAAATGTTTTAACACACCACAGACGCAATATTAGTTTCTGGCGTTCATTCATATATAAAACTCGCAACCGTCTTGTGTATGGGTTGTGTCGCTTTATGCACTTCTAAATATGTTTTTCAAAATATTAAAAAATAAAATATACTTTATGATTAAGCCAAATAATGCAAATTAATTTATATGTATATGTTTTTTGTTATGAAATTTGTAATTTTTTTGAAAGTCCCGTAAATTATTATACATTTTGCTTATGGTATGTTTTATTTTTCTATGTGTCGTTTATGAATTGTGTTTTCTATGATTTACAGATATTTGTTTTCCATAATTCCAGTCTTTGTTATTGAATGGATTGACGTTTTGGCAAGAAATGTAGCAACCGCGTTATGTCAAAATCACAGCAAGATATTGAAATTGGCCTTCCCGAACATTCCGATTACGTAAGGCTCAAGTTATCACGTTCTATTTCTAATCTTTGTAGCATCATGTTTCATTATCATGTTGTTCTTCCTTACAACTCTGGTGGTACTATAAGTTTGCCTCATTTGAAAATTTTCTTCATGGACATCACTGGAAAGTTTTCAGTGTTCTCCTTCTGCTCCTCTTACTATGCCTAGGACTTAAGTTTGCTAGACCAGAAACAAATTTCTACCGGCTATGGGTTGGAGGTTTGTGAAGACGCTTATTTATTTTAATTCTTTTGATTGTTTGATTTTCTATTTTCACCTTCTTTTCCTTTAGAAAGCAGTCGGTTATCGTCTGAGTTGGATTATTTAGCCCAAGAACTTCGTTCTTTCTACATACAGCAACAAGTGCCTTCATTTGTTAATATCCAATATCATCAATATCCATCCCCAACGTGGGGTGATCCCTATTACCGATCCCCCTACTCCCATCCCTCTGTCAACCCTCAGTCTTCCACGAATTCTCCCCTTGGTGGTCTTCCTGGGAGCGAGTTTATGGGATCCATTGAGTCCATCCTGCAGGTATGTAATTATTCACAAGAACCTGAATTAGAATATCTTTAAGGGCTTGAAGCTCTATAGAGATATTTTTCATTTTTTAGGTGTCTGATTCAAACCTCCTGACCATAGATGCGCTACGAGATCATATGGAATTACTCCTCAAGGTCCACAGTATTGAGGTGAAAGTGGGGGCGGCCAAATGGCGCTTGGAGGATTTATGTCAACGAGCGGAATTACCTCGTGCTGCAGGTTTGCACAGCTTTGAGTCCCTCCTTGCTCAACTCATTCCCTGTGTTGTCATAACTCCTCTTGATTGCTTCTGGGAGGGTTCCAAAGTCCTTGCGCCTGATGCTGTTGTATCTATTCCATGGTAAAAATTTTCTTGAACTTTCCCATTTTAATCTTACCTTCTTCGTTAACTTAAGTGTTAGACGTAATTATTGGACGAATCAGTATTTTGTCCTTGTCGTTATTTTTTTTTATAAACCCAGAGCTAGTCCTAGCATCCTATTGGGAACGATTGCCTCCAAATTTGTAAATTCTTGTCCTTATCCTAATTTTATGGCTCTTGAGGTCGAAGTGAGCAGTATCCAGGCTTGTGTCTGATAGCATCTAATGATATATGTCATCTTGTACACTACACTGCATAGTAATGCGTATTCGTACGTTAATGCGTTGTCATTGGCAACAACTGTCGGAATAGTTAGAGACAGATTTACGAAACGCCTGTTGTTGCATCTCATGAAATGAAGTTAAAAAGGACAAAGCACTTGTATATGCACAAGCACGGTTTTCTGTCTACCTACCCGAATGTGCAATCACGTGTGATCGGGGCTTTCCTAGTTCACTCATTTACCTACCTCAATCTAAATCAAATTCCTGGATGTCGAAAACGAAGCTAAAGTTCTGTGACTATGTGCTAGTAGTATCACTTTCTATATGACTATTAATGTGACTGTGTACCAGCACAGTAGGTGGTATTTACGCCATTGTGTCTGTATTATTCGACCGAGGAGCAGGGAGGGAGCGACCGAAAAATAGCTTCACATTGATGGTTCATGCGTGCCACTAGTATAGCAAAAAAGAGAGATGGGGTTACACGTCTGCACATTACCTACCGCCTAATCTCGCGTACAAACTGTGCAGCAGCACCTCATGCCCCCTCTTCCTCTCCCCCACATCTTACATACCTCCCCTCCTCGTTGTGTGTGCTGTAGAACCACCAGCATCATCATCACTGCTGCAGCAGCTGTGTGCAGTCTGCTGCACAAATTTGTGCTTTCTGCCTTGCCTAGCTTAGCCTAGCAGATGCGAGCTTAGCTCGAATTTTGCAAGCAGCAAAACATACTGCTGCGTGTGCCGCTGGGATCTATTGATTCTGGCTGGCTGTGCCCAGTTATATAGCTGTAGAAATAGCATCCTTTCTCCTTATCTGGGTGGGTGGCAAATTTGTTATCTTAGATAATTTAACTAGTGTTGTAGGGTCTCTCCGGGGATGGGTGACACGGTGTTTGTTCATGTGCGAGGGTATAATAAATCGTTGATTTTAATGTGTGTGCGGATTGTCTTGTCTCATTCTTAAAAAAATAGGCCGCAACTTATAAGTGGGATTCACCTCTTCATTTGTGTACCATGACTCAATCATAATGAAATGGACTTAGAATATCTGGGTGAGATACAGAGGTACAACGGGATCATGTGTAAATGCGCGCAGTAGAAGTCTAAATTGATCTGATTCTCGGATTGCTTTCAGCGATGTTAATGTCGTGACATTTCAGCCGCTGTGGCTCTCCTGCGTTGTGTTGCTTGCCCAAAAGAGCGACTGGTTAGGTAGCTAGGTGGTTAGTTTTCCTCCTTCTGGCTAATATACTACACCCCACACATTGATTCAGTCCCCATTTTGCTTTTTTTCTCCAGTGTAAACAGTCCACCTTTCCCAATTTTAGGCTTAATAACCAATTCACTCTCAAATGGCCAAGTTTAGATCCACACCACTTATTGTCAAGTTTTCGGGCGCAGTATGGAAACCAATCTTCGGAGTTAACTTATCTCGATGAGGTTTCCGATATGCTTGATCGAACTGGCCTGCGTCATGGATATCTCACTCGTCCCTGTCTGGATCCTCGTGATCGTGGTTGTCCAAAACTTGCTCCTAACTACAAATCTCAGTCTCCGGATATCGCCAGTGTTGTTGCCCAAGGGTGTCCAAGCTTTGCGGCTAATATTCTCCACTGGCCGAGAGATTTACTTCTTGGTGGACAGAAGTGTTCCTACTCACGCCACCGATCGGTGGAGGAATGTGGTCGTAGTAAGGACAGATCTAATCAGCGATTAGTTAATGCCACCGCTCTACAAACCCTTCTCCTCCTGAGGTCCCCTCAAGAACTCTATCGAACTGTTCGCTTTAATGATCCCTACAATCACGAATCATTTACTCTGCTCGATGCTCAAAATGCCTTGGATCAGTGGCGAAATGAGCTCAAACACTACCTCATTGTACATAATAAGGCCATGGCACAGAACAGGGGTTGGAAGTTTTATGGATTCACGGATAATTCCTTGCGGGATTTACTTACTCAAAGCACTGTTCGAGTGTGGTTTACTCAGCTAGTTGGTGCTATTATTCTTGTGGTAAGTTGTTAGGTCGAAATGAACTATTTTTATGATTACAATTGGTTGAGAGAGAGAGGGATATGCTACAGTGTTTGAACGTTAGGGGAGGTTGAATAGGTTCAGGTATTGGGATTTCACGTAATTCCTTATTCATTACTAAGTTGATTAATCAATCTGCTTCCTCATTTGTAATGACTTAGTTCAGTGGCTCATAATTTTTTTGTTGAGTTGATGTTGATGTTCTTATTTTGTTTGCTAGACGCGAGTTTGGGGCTGGTCTTTGAGTAATGCGCCTTTTCCATTGTGTGGTTTTTCGCCTTCAAGTTTCTCCAATATATCTTTTTTTACTCTAAGTGCTCGTTTCCATCACTCGAGCAGCTTTTCTGAAAGGTTCTTTTTGGGATAGATGGGCCACACAGAGGTCCTCATTTTGCAAAGCTTTCTCATTTCGTTTAATATGTGATAAGTCAGAGGTTGCGAAGCCAATGTCCATTGATACCATACCCAATTATGTGGAGGGTCAAAAGGTTAATTCTGGTCAAAACTTCATTGAGATCGTATTGAGCTCACGCTGGATCACAGTTAGGTCAGCAGTTTTCCAGCATAATTATCAAGTTCATTAAGAATAACAATGGTCTTAAGTCTCCTATGGTTCTCCCTTCACTGGCCATTTTAAACCAGTGTTGGTGCTAATTGCTTTCACTTGCCATTTTCTTCATTTAGTAAACAATAACTTGGCAGACGTTCTCGTCGACTTATGCACCACTGGCACCTTATGATGGGAAATAATGGATGCGTTCAATTTGAGAGAAAAGTACAGTAGAATCGGTTGTATCTATTTCATTGGCATTTTGGTATCTGTATTCATCATCGGTAGTATCTCACTGATTCTCCGCCCAAGTGTCGATTTTGTGTGTATATTAAGCGGATGGGTGGGTGGTTAACTTCTAAGTGCACACACCGTGGATGTAAGGACGCAGTTTTAAAGGCGTCTTTGATCAGTTATCACATATTCTGGTGAAAGGAATGGCGTTGAGTCATGCCCATCTTGGAAAAGGGTCGCTGATGATCTCAAAGTGGCATGTGTGTATTGAAAGCCGCTGTGATGTAATTTCATCTCATACTTTCACCTGTGGGTGGGTGTTCGTACAAACTTAGATTTCTTTTCTCACACCGACCCAGATCTCTACATGAATATTGCTTCGGGGCCCTACTCCATTTTAGTTGATTGTAAACAAGGCTTCTGTAAATACCACAATCTTGGCGATCTTAGAAGGCCTAAAAATGCAATTACACTGGTGTTAGAGGGTTTGCGTGATCGTCTACGAGGTCAAAGGTCAAAGAATTCCATGTCCGTCTGCGTACCCAGTAAGCAGAATGTCCAATCGCTAACGATAACGAAATTTGAAATTTACTAGGGAGGTTCCATGGTTCTATTCCTTTGAAGCGATTTCCCAAGTGGACTATTCGTAAGCACTTATGGGACAGACGCTAAACTCAGAAAAGAAATTTTTAGTTGCCACAGTTCTTGCTTTTTTCTGTATATGGTGCTGGCTTAGGTATTGAATAAAGACTGCGCTCAAATAGTTTCAGCGATTTCGATGATAAATGGTTGAACATTTATATCTATCATTACAATTCATGCATAAGTTTAAATTTTTTCGGAAATTCGTTTTTGACAGATTGGTGGTGTCCTGGAGCCTCCTTGATGGACATAAATACTTTCTTTTATCCATCACTCTTGAGTAGCTTTAATTCGTAAAGAATTTAAGGTATCGTTTACTGCCAATATGTACTGGTCCAAATATCAATCCCATGATAACTAATTCTTCAATCCCACAAATTATGAGTTAAGCAGAAAGCATTTTTCGCAATGATTTGTTGTCTTTAGAAGGTCGTCAAAATTCGGTTTCATAATTAAGACTTCAACTCTTTAGACTCGTAATGCTATGTATCTTAGCTTTTTATTGTTTGGTTTGCCATTTTAGTTATTTTCTAAATCGAGAAACCATTGGAAATCATTCAGGAATCGACGATGTCGTGACATATCCGTAATTGACTGCAAAAGGGTAAATTTTACGACTCTCTTAATCATGTGTATGAAATGGAAGTGGAGGCAATTACTCATTCTATTCTGACACAATGGTCCCATTCCCTACCCTTTCCTGTAGGTGTTCCAGATGGGCTAGCCACGGGAGGAAAAAACAATCTCTAACTGGTCCATCTTAAGGCTTTTCCGTCCAGAGCATGGATTCAGTCTAGTCTCTTTAGCCTTTTATTAGCTCACTAATTAGTTTTATATTAGCTCCCCATCCATTCATTTCTCTCACACTTTTTCAATAGGGTAGATGACCCATCACACTCAAGGTGACTTTCTTGGAATTTCTACCCGTTATTTGTGTCATATTTCAGTGTGTTTGTTGTTCTAAGTTCTTTTGCCCATCTTTGTATCGTAGTTTAAGTTTTCAATCATAAAACAACATGGTTCATAATTTTGGATCCTGTAGACTGCTAAGGTTCCAAGTCTACGTATTCTCTGCTTGTGTTTTATTAAATTAAATCTGGCGTTCTGACATGCCTCTCCAACAACCAGTGCACATCGGAAAAGGGCTGGATATTTTGGACGCCTGTGTGAGTTTCGGGCTGGGAGTGTAGCCTACATGACTGACAACTAGTCTCCCTCACATGTTTTACTGATTCGCATTTCTCATCACTTCTTTCAATTTTGACAGCTCCTTTACGGTATGGTATGCCTCTTGTGTTGGCGCGAACCGTCTCGCTCCCAGTGTTGGCTCGCTCTTGCCGGTTTGGGCCTGATTGTCCTCTCCTTGATTGCTGGTCTGGGCATCTGCTCTCTCATTGGTCTTCCATTCAATGTTCTCTCTGTTCAAGTCCTCCCTTTCATCATTCTCGGACTGGGAATGGGAGACCTGTTCGTGTTTACTACCTGCAATACCTGTATACTATCAAGATCTGCTGAGGCTAGCCAAAAGGTATGTTTTATGGCCTACTTTTAAATTTGTGTTTTGTTCGCTTGTCATAATACTAACAATGAAGTTGTGGTATCTAGCTCCAAATGAACCTCATGTATTTTGAATGAAAAGCACTGGGGAGTAGTGGGTCATGCTTAATAGCAATGCGAAATTCCCGATTTCGAATTCTCATGGTTTCAAGAGCTTAATCCTTCAAACTACCTATTTGCCTGAATCACAGCTTCCAAATTTGCATTGGTTTGTTTGCTGAACGAAAAAATGGACATAGTATCACACATGAATGTGTTTCGTTAGATTGTAGCTGCTTCAGAAGGAATTACATATAAATCTAGTAAGCAGCTGACAGAGGGTGACGTAACTTTAGTCTCTCACTAGGCAGCTCTACGTTTCTAAGTCCCCATCCACTTTTATAAATATGGTTATGAGTTGTTGGGATAAAGAGGAGGCGTTAAGTGATATGTTAGATGGAACAGATAAACAATTTCATATGCGAGAATGAGGAAAGTTCATTTTAAGATTCGAGATGTTTCCTAACCCAAGTCCTGTTATACACGAGATAGAGCTTTAATCCAATAAATATGTATCGATCGATTGAGCGTATCGCGCAAACGAAGCCATCACACGCAATGACAATGAAGACACCAGGCATCTACATTATTGCAAAACAGGCAAATCTCGTGTCTTGAATCTTTCGACAAGAGAGTGACATTTATTTCCTTGGCTCTCACAGAAAGATTGCCTGTGTGTGTGTGTGTGTGTTCGTTTCACATTGTCTCATTCCTATGCATAAATTTGTGCGTAGGCTCACTCAATGTGTGCGGTTTTATGTGTATCAATGCGCACAAGACCCTTCTAATCTCTTGTTCTGCGTCTTTTCTAGAATGCTCTCTGGACCACCCACGTATTGGCTGAACATGGAGCCGCTTTCACTTTCTCTTTCTTGGCAATGGTCGCTACGTTCTTCTCCACCATCTACATACCTGTGCCCGTGATGAGACAGTTCTGTATTCAGGTAGATTGCCTCGCCTTTGGAGTGACACTCAAGTCACTGTTTAATCACCGACCAATAGCTACTGGGTGCTGACATGTAACGCGTGTTGCTGCGCTCAAATGTTACACGTTATGGGTGGTCTCGTGTTTTGCGCGCTGTAGCTGTATACTAGTTATTAGGGGGTAGGGGGTAGTCGCCAGTACTAATTCGGTTCCCTCGACTAGTTCGTTCGATGACAGCTGCACTAGTAGTCAGGTTGGGCGGGGGTTGACGCAAATGTGTTAATAGACTGGACTGTGTGGGTGGCCATTGACAGGACCCAGAGCCGTGCCTTCCGACTATCCCACAACTGGCACTAATGGAGATTTGGATGCAGGGGGGGGGCGTATCCTCTCCTCTAGACCTCTTAACTCGGGAAATTGCAGTTTGTGTTCATTTGTCCACACAGATCTGTTTAAATATGACGGGATAAAAATCACTTGCGCTAACAGCACTTATACATTCAGATATGTATTGTAGAGCCTATTTTAGGGGAAAGGAAATTTATCTTAAGTGTATTCTTTTAGTTCGTTACGTGGTATAGCTAGAGTTGAATTGTTCCGAATTCTATCAATCCTAAGGAATAAAGGATGAATTGTGTTCCCTTAACTTAAGGATTTTACTTCTTACTTAATTTTTGAAGGATGAGTGAACCTTAATTTTAACCGTTTTTGTTTCGGAAGCCATCATATCCGTTATTTTTATGCTGAAGTTCATCTCCTTGACGAACTAGATTTCATTCTAATTTCCAACAAAATGCATGAACGCACGTACATAAACAAACACGCATCTGTTCAGTAATTGGCCTTTTTGGTGCTTGAAAAAAGGAGAAACCATGTGTTGTATTACTTAACTGTCCCTCTAGACCAAGTGTTGTAGTAGTTGCTGGTTTTGCTTGAGATTCATAGTCTTGTAAAAAGAAATGGAGATGCGCATGCGCGCGTTCAAATCAATAATCATTGTCTTTTTCTAAGAGGGGGGGGGGCAGAGAAGTGGGAATAAGGGTAGGTAGGAGAACATCCCTTCATAGCGGTATTAGGAGGAGACTATTTGACACCGGAAGTAGGTATGCCGTTTGCCACAAGTGAACGCAGTGTACTGTTAGCAGCAGTGGTAGTATGAAACAGCCAATAGAAACGTGGTGCTTATAATGAGTCTGTTTATTCACACAATGTATAGTTTATAGTTAGTATATATCTGCGGGTACACTAAGGGAGGTTGCATAATTTTTTTAAGTCTGGCCATTACAAGTTCTTGGCCTAAGGGTTTTCTACGTTGAGTGAAACATTAAACAGAAATCATTTTGTCGTATTGCCATGACGACTAATTATTAGTTCTGGTAGATTGTAAGTTTCTCATTTAGCGAGACTCCCGTTTACTTAATCAAGTAAGGTATCATGAACTCTTATAATTTACGGGGGTAGAAGAGTAGCATTATGGAGTACCGATTGAAAAGTCATAGTCAGTCAAACACCCCTTTTGAACAAGTTTATATAGTATTATTCTCTAGTATTAAATTTCATGACCATTACGCCATCCGGGGTTAATTTTGTCTTTGTAACTGTTCCTTTCGAAATGGTTTGATGAGCTATTATAATACATTGATAGGATGTTGACGAACATGTGATGCATAACTGCTCATCGTTTCTATTTCTCTGTTTTATTACAGGCAGGAATCCTGGTATTGGTGCAGGCTGTTACAATCATGACCCTGTTTCCAGTGCTCCTAAAACTGGACAGTAAGCGCCGTGCTCGTAATCGGATGGATGTTCTCTGCTGTTTGAGGCAATCTGTAGCCACTGCTACTACTGCTATTTCTGATGTGACAAATCAACAGGATATGGCTAGTAGTTCTTCATCGCCGTCCTCTTACTACCTTCCATCATCTGTAAGCTCAAATGATGAAGTTGTACGTGTGGTTGAAACAACTTCGACCAAGGTTCGACTCAGCGAAAATGCTGTGGCGACGGTGAAAGTCTCCGTGTCGACGCAGAAACAGCCCTCGACTGCGTTAATTCATAGCATTCAGCCGCACGGAGCAGTAAATGTAATTTAATCGGATCCTATTTTTTCACTCATTAACATTTTTTCAATTAATGATCGCTCCTCTTAAAGATTGCAGACTAAATAAAAAAGAAATATCCTTTTCATCTTACAATGCTGCTCGGAACGATGGTTCCAGCAGCTTTTACCGTAACAGATTTCAAGGACATATTACGTAGAATAGTATACGATAACATGGGTAACTACTATTGAATATATATTTTTTATTTTCAGTATTTTTTACGGTAGAGGTTAGTTGAATTAGTTCCATTTTAGAAATTTATCACCTAGGGCTATTAGCAATTCGAAAACGTATTTGTCCATTAATCGTTTCATTTTTAAAACGAAATTGATTGAGAAGTAACTGGTTGTTTTAAAATGAATGATTTAAACTTAAAATTTAAATTTTACTTAAGCATTCATTTACAGTTTGTTTAAACCACCTGTGGCTCAATTACACGATCAATGACCTTTATTTATCTCTGAAGGTTTCTGTGCCGATTTGTTCAGGTACTTCTGTAATGATCCTTCACCATTTCTGCTTTCGAACGACCATCACCGACAATTTCCCACGTTCTTAGACATTTAAATACCTATAGAATTTAGTATAATTAAATCCCCGAAGTTCCTGATGATTTTCAGTCGCTTTTAGTTTGTTTCTCATGATATGGCAAACGCGTTTCATGACTTTAACCATTGGAGAAACATCTAGGTAGATATGGTGGAAGATGGTTCAGTTATGAGAGGAAATGAAGTTAGTAAGGTCGAGAATCAGAAATCAAAGAAATCCCACTTCAACTTATCTTCAGGCTCATTAGGCCATCTGCTTATCTTCAGATTCCTTGAATGATAAATCGAATTACACAATGGTTAATTAATTTTTCTCATAAATCACTAGCTTTAACTGACTGAAATTTCCTCAGTTAATCTAGCCAGTTTTGTATTTCCGCTGCCTATCCCTGTGTGTGTGTGTGCTATTCGCGCTAATTTCTTGTGCGAAAATCTCTGTGCCCGCACAAGGCGACGACAGAATATTCCCTGATGCACACATAGATACATATTTGGATCTTTTTTCTAGTTGTGTGCGCGATTAGTCACCGACGAGAAGCGCAATCACCCACTTACCTACATTGTCTTTTTGTTTTGTGCTGTTTGTGCACGTGCAGCACAGATGACGCGACGTTGGTGGTCATTCCCTGCCCTTCTACTAACCCCATCCTCTATCTCCTGTTTTAGCTTGTTGCCACCTCGTCATCGACACCATCGAGCGTCCCCTCTGAATGTCTATGCAGCTCCTGCCAGCATGACAAAGAAGAAAAAGGTGGTGGTTCCCTCCTAGTCCACCTTGCAAGTCGATTGGCATCGATCCTGTCAAGATTTCTTTCAATTCGCGTAATTGTCTGTCTCATTGGTTCAGCTCTAGTCATTTCTACCGTGGTTTTGGCTCCACTGCGACTTCGTGTCGGTCTGAATATCCTTTCTCTCATTCCTACTGATGCGATTGAACATGGATTTGTGGAGAAATCGAGTGATGCTTTCGGACTTATTCACTTCCAACTTATTGCTCGGGGTAGTGACCCTCCCATCCTAATGGACGAACACGGTCGGTTTAAAGCTGATAAACCCCGTGACAGTGTTCTTTATGGCCCGGGAGTGGATTTTGCAAGGAGTCAGAAACAACTGAGAGCTCTATTTAACGAAATCAACGATCTTCCAGGAGTATCTTACACTGGTCAAAAGATATGGCTCGACTCCTTCCGTGATTGGTTGCTGGGTATTCAGGAAGCCTTCGATTCGGACGTGAAAAAGGGGTACATCAGTAAACAAGGAAGTTGGATGGTTAACGCTAGCGATGATGGTCTTTTGGGTTTACTTCTTATTGTTCAGACTGATAGCGGAATCGATCTTGGAAGAGTATGCTCACTTCCATTTATTTAAAATATTGAATTGCTTGGTAAGCTAGCGTATTTTGGCCTTCTAGATTGGAACTGGGAGACTAGTACGAGATGAAATTATTGACTACTCAGCATTTCGTGTGTACCTCCATGCTTGGCGTGTTCTGGATGTGTTCAATTACACTTCTCCGCCTTGTACAATCATTCCTGATCCAGGACTTCTACCTGGTCGTATCACCCCACTTCAAAGGGAAGGCGGGCCAAATGATCTTTACATTATCCAACCTGCATCGCCAATTCAACTCGTGCAGACTTCATTCTTTGCCAGAGGATATGGAGATGTTACTGACCAGATTGAATTCGTCAAGGTTAGTGTCTTCGCTTGAAAAATTATGTAATCTTTCAATGTAAATGGACTATTTATGCATATAGAGTTTTATCTCTATATTGAAACTCAAGCTCTTAACTAGTCATGAGTATATGCTAGGGCTCAGTTCTTAAGCGAATTATAAATAGCTCTTCTTTTCTTCTGTAGAAAGTTCGCAGTCTCACCGAGCAATCGATAGCCCGAGGGGTACCAGTTTTCCCAACTGGTTTGCCTTTCACATTAGCTGAACATTACCTTACTTTCTGGCACCATTTCTGTATTGCAAGTGGAATTTTAGTGGGAACTGTCCTTGTTGCCGGTTTGATCTTTCTCCCTCGACCCATCGCTGCTCTTTTTGCTGTCTGTATTGGCGGCGGCGGTTCAGTTTGCGCTTGTCTTCTCGGTTTTCTGGCTCTTGGATTGGATTTAAATGCGATTTCCGGTGGTATGATCCTTATTGCCTTCGGCCTAGGCACTAAGCTTTCATCTGGAGTGTTATGTGGTTGGTATGGACCTCAACATAACATCCACCGATGGTGTCCATCAAAGTCCAAAACCCCGAATTGTGACTTCGGGGGGAAGGAAGACGATAATATTAATCAGCAGCACACTTCAGCACCTCTTAGAGTGAAAAAGCTCCAAGCAGTACTCCAGAACCACACCAGCCAGATTTTTCACTCGAATGTTAGCTTCGTATTAGCTGTTGCTTTGCTAGCAGCTGTGCGGGTGGATTTCATTGCAAACCACTTTTTCCGTCTTATTGGAATCATTGCACTGGGTTGCCTGTTCGATAGCCTCATTCTCCTTCCCACGGTATGCTTTGTTCTAGAGCCGATATTTCCATCGAACCTCTACACCCTGTCTAGTCCTCAACCACCTCCACGTCCTTCCGTTCAAGTAGTGGAGACGACAACAATCAGTACCGGCGGTGGCGACTCACAGGAAATTGAGGGAGTTAATATGACGGACTCAAGTCCCTTTATCAATGAAATTGAAGACGAGGAGGATCTAACAATGCATCAATTTTGCGACTCACTGAGGAGGAGTAGTAGCAGTGTTCTTCCACGTCGGAAATATGCCTCTCCATCAGCAGGTGCCAATTTATTCGCCAGTGCGCCAAGAGACGATTCTCAACATGCAAGTTTGAGCACAATTTCTGAAGAATCGTCCAATTCCAGCTCGACTCTAAGCCTCAATCCTCCTCCGGCTACTCAGCTACCTTCAAATCCTCCTACACTCTCCTCTAAATCCCACTATCACCACCATCATTTTCATCACAATTCTTCTATTTCGAATTCCGTAACAGCTACAACAGCAGTGCGAATGAAGGAATTTTTGCCCCTCCTAAATGCTGCTATGGCTGTTGCGCAACGGCAACAGAGTCGAAGGAATGCTGGTTCCGAGCCCCCGCCACCCCCGTATTCGGAACAGCCTCCTCCCCCCGCCTCACGATGAGTTTGAGTTTAAATTCNTTTTCAGGTATGTTTGTATCCTTGTAGCCCCATCTGGTGGAGTGGGCGTTGAAGCCTCCTAATACTATAGTTTTGTGTGAGATGTTCAGAAAGACAACGTTTGGACAATTCTGGGGTAGATTATAGACTGCATATATCTTGAAGTGGTTTTGACATTTCCAAACATTTAATCTGATTATTTCACATTTGTCTTGTGTCGAGCCCATACTCTTGATTAGGTCGTAGTGTGAGGTGAGACCATCTTTTACTCCAGTTAGAATTCCACTTGCAACTTGCCGGTATTTAGGTAGATTGTACAGGGAGTAACCTGGGAATTGGTAATACTTCAGTTTGTCATCCGAAATGTTAGCTTCCATAATTGTGAAAATGTCTACATCATAGGTTTGCAGGATTTTCTGTATTTGGATCTTTTTGTCCGGAGACATTCCTCCAGCATTCCACTGGAGGATCTGAAGACGTAGTGATTCGCCCTGACGAGGGCGATTTTTCTTATACCCTTTTTTAAAGCTAATCATAATTAATCGAAGTCAAAAACGTATGCCGAGTGATAGGCTTTTTTGCCGTAAGAAAATACGTTGTCCATGGTGCACCACGAGGAGGTAAGTCTATCGCGCACCCCTTTTCCGAAATAATAAAAAGGGAAAAAAAGATTTTAGAGAACAATTTAATATTTTGAGTGTAGATGCGCTTTTATTGTGCTAATCGAAGTTCTAAACTAAGTGCACAATCGAAGTGCTTTGATGAGGATACCTAGAGCTTATACATGGTGGAAAGAATTGGGTTAAATATCCTTCCAAGCTGACTTCAATTGTTTGACTAAGATAATGTGGAAAGTGTTAAAATGGTTTAATTTGATGGCAGACCTTTTATTTCGCAAAGCATGTTAATCTGACTACATAGAAACACATATTAAATGACAATAAATTAACGCTCTGATTAACAGATTAACCTCAGCAAGCAGTGCTCAAACATTCTGCTGAGATCCAGGGGTTATGAATTGTATACCACAAACTGGTTTGGAATGGATTTGTCAAAGATGTGTCGACTATTTGCCTTCATGAAGGGACAAACTTGGTTTTGAATTTGTTTCTCACTTTCAAACGAGGAGCATATTTCCTGTTGAAATGCGCTAATCAAACCAGAGTTTGGTGAAGTGTTGCGGCAACTCATCATCGACCTTTTTCATTTTGATGTCCATTCCTCCCTTTCAAGCCTGGAATCAACCAAGGGGGTTAATGAAAACTATCAAAACGCCCTCCATTTGATACAAACAAATAAATATTTCAATTGCTAGGCTAATATAGTTATAAATAAAGTATTATGGTTTTGTGGGTTGATGAAGGGTTTAAACTGAATAATAAATTAATTTTGTTCTTTGGTTTCAATGTTAATCTGCCAACACATTTCTTATAAATAGAAAAAAGGTTTGGTTATTTTAATTCTATCTGGTCTCGTGTCAAGAAGATATGCATGAACATTTCTATGAATATTTGTTCTCATGCCATGAAAGGGTGTGTCGGAAAGGTGAGTCCATATGGGTGTGTTGATTTCCCTGGTCAAATGCACCAAAAGTGACATTCAGTCGCTTAAAATAAACCGTTCTTTACTGACCCATTGGCAAACAGGATGACAGGTGAATAGGAAACTTTAGCTGCTTTCTGCAAATTTCATATTATTATGCTTTTTCAAGTGATGACAATCAATTTCGATAAAAAACAAACCATTTTTCCATAAAGCTATTCATTATGATTATGGAACAGAATTCAAGTGAGCGAAGCTAGGAAAACGTGGCCTGATATTTGAGATGTCTGATTGCAATTTGTGCTGGTCTTGAGACCAAATCTAAATTCTCGAAAACCCCATTTTCAATATTAATTTTTTACTCAATAATAGTAAGAATTATTTAATAAATGCCTTCTTTAAAGAAAAATAGAAGTGCGAATTCATGAAAATTGTAGAAGATGTCAAAACGAGGATGTCTTGAATTATAATATGATTTCAAATTGAGTAAACAAAATTAATTGAAAGGTCAATTTCAGGGTTCTTCGTGGTGCATTAAATTTGCATCACAACGATATTTCAGAATAAATTATAAATAATATTTAGTGAATTTAATATAGTACTGTATGGGGTGCGCGATAGACTTACCTCCTCGTGGTGCACCATGGACAACGTATTTTCTTACGGCAAAAAAGCCTATCACTCGGCATACGTTTTTGACTTCGATTAATTATGATTAGCTTTAAAAAAGGGTATAAGAAAAATCGCCCTCGTCAGGGCGAATCACTACGTCTTCAGATCCTCCAGTGGAATGCTGGAGGAATGTCTCCGGACAAAAAGATCCAAATACAGAAAATCCTGCAAACCTATGATGTAGACATTTTCACAATTATGGAAGCTAACATTTCGGATGACAAACTGAAGTATTACCAATTCCCAGGTTACTCCCTGTACAATCTACCTAAATACCGGCAAGTTGCAAGTGGAATTCTAACTGGAGTAAAAGATGGTCTCACCTCACACTACGACCTAATCAAGAGTATGGGCTCGACACAAGACAAATGTGAAATAATCAGATTAAATGTTTGGAAATGTCAAAACCACTTCAAGATATATGCAGTCTATAATCTACCCCAGAATTGTCCAAACGTTGTCTTTCTGAACATCTCACACAAAACTATANTGTGTGTGTGTGTGTGTGTGTGTGTGTGTATGTGTGTGTGTGTGTGTGAATACTACTGAAATGGCTAATCAGCGTCCAGTGTATGCATTTTGTGGCTGTTTTTACGCACCACACTCAGATACAATCTTCCTTTGCTCCTATTTTCCCCCTTCCTATATCCCGGGTCCAAGAGATAAAACTATTGCTTCTCCTTCTGTTACCTGTTGCGAGTACTTATGCATTATTATTAATACAATTATATATATATGTGCTACTATTATTGCTACTTGACTTCTTTTTAATGAAGGTGGTTTAAGTTTTGGTTGACATTAAGTAATAGGGGATGGTTCAGGTCGAGATGACTTACATACTATGAAGATGAATACTAGAGGAAGATTACAACTTGTGTTTGAAAAGTGTGGAACAGATAATTGAAAAATTTAAGTAGATTGATAAGTAAGTTAAGGGAAGAAGAGGAGCTAAGAATACGGGGGTTGGATAATTGGTAAAACAGTTGAACGATTTGAGGGGAGGCGGAGAAATGGTTCGAAAACTAGAACTAGCTATCAAGGTTCGAAGTGGGGAAATTTTGGCCAGAGAGTAATCATTTTTTTATGACTGTTCAGTGGTCTTTACTTGGAAAGTAACTAAAGCGTTCAAGCTACTTCGAAGAGGGAAATTACAGATAAAATGAAAAAAATAAAAAGAGTGGTTGATTAAGGCTATAAAAAAGCAATGCTTGAGGTCATGAGTTCAGCGCTGAATGTTGGCATTCATTCAATGAATACTGAGTCTCAATGGATTGGAAATACACTCAATTGGAGCTGTTTTTCCCCTACCCATTGGAAAAATTGACATATTTTTAGTACAATCGATCTCCAATTTCGTAGGAAGTTCCATTCTATGATAGTGATTTGGGGTACGCGATAGACTTACCTCCTCGTGGCGCACCCCGGACAACATATTTTCTTACGGCAAAAAAGTCTATCACTCGGCATTCGTTTT